AGCTTAGAAAAGTTCATTCAAAATTACACTTTTTGCGTTCCTAATGAATATTCCGTCATTGGTACAATCCAAGTAATAATATTTTACGTTATTGTGTACTTTATTTTTTAAAGCACAAATATTTTATATATTTCTACTCTATGCTTTCAACATTTTTTTATTTTTTATTAACTCAATTAAAAAATTTTATGACTTGAAAACTAAAGCCCTCCCATCATACTAGTGGAGCTTTAGTTAAATCTCTCATCTTAGAAGATTAACCCAAGGTTACAACTTCTCGCATCCTGAGTAACAATTCCATCATTGGCATATTCAGATAGTATATTCTCATCTATTTTGTTATTATTCTTCTCATATCTTATTTATTATTTTTATATCCATTACTATATATATTTTGTTACGTATATTAATAAATTTTATTAACTTTATTATTTAAAATAATTATTTGGATATGTTAAGTCACTAAATCGAGATCCTCCCATCATTCTGGTGGAGCCTCGATCTATTTGGGATTGGTGACTCTTCACCTTTCCCAAATTGATTAATTAGTTATATTTTAATTGATTTAATTTTTTTGTACTTTAATTTTCTATCATTATGTTTTTTTTCTTTTTTTAATATTTTTCTTCTGACTCATTGTCTTATATTTTATTTACTATGTACTATTATTATTATTTTTATATCTAATCTTAAACTAAATTCTTACTAACATATATACATAATTTTAAAAAAGTCTCTTAATTAAGTTATGTATATATAGATATACATATATATAATTTTGATGTATAAAAAGATTATTAATTTATATGTTAAGTGGGATGTATGTATTTTTTTAAAATATATTATTTTATAAATTTAACGAATTTTTAATTTACTATGTTGATTTAAATAAAATCAACTAAAAATATTATTTAATTAAAATTATTGATTTATTGAATATTAATTTATAGAGATTTTACCGGTGATGGAACACTGGTGAGCAGGTTGAAATTGCAGTGACAAAATTACTGTAGTCAATGATGGAGTAATAACTAATAAATATGGTTAGGTTGATGACCCCATGTCCTCCCTATAATGTTCCACAACTAGGGAACCGTCCTCAAGTAAGCAAATTAAATATGATTGAACTCACTGATCATGAGATTTATTTCTGATCTGCTAGCCGCTGCATATTTCTTTGCCCTACATATTTAAAGGCCGGCTGGATTTAATTCATTAATGGAAATGTACCCCTTAACCATTCCCTATATTAATTATAAATTTTTTATATAAATATTACTGTAATCAGGTATCTATATTTAATTTTTAATATTAAAATCAGGTTACTAAGGGTTTGGATCGGATTGATTTTCGAGTTTAAATCATTTCAAATTCGGATTCTATGAATTCAGAACCTACAGAGTTAGTGGACATGACAAAAAAAAAGAAAAATATTTAAAAAAAATTGCGGTCTAAACAAATTTATTGAATATTTATAAACTCTAATCTGACTCTTTCATCCGAGAAAATCTTATATTAAAATAAAATATTTAAAATGACATAATGTATGTCTATGCAACCAAACATAGAATAGCACTTTCATTTGGACCATCCTAGGGATCTGAGTTCACTTAGCAGAAACTAAGATACAATTCCACAGTCCTCAATTCATCTGTCAGTCAAGTGATCAAACTTAAATCGGTAGTTCTTTGTGGGTTCCTCAGCTCTCAAGTCATGACTGACAGCAGGCAGCAAGAAAGCAAACGTGTAACAACTCATGATAAAACAATAACTTCAATCCATTAATGCACCCAATAACCCTGGAACAGGGAACATGTATTCTTAGAAAGGGAAGAAGATTGCTAAAAATACATAAACAAGAATAGGGAATGATCACAACAATCCAACAAATGATTACTACAATTCCTCAAATGATTTTTCACATGTCACCTACTTACAATAATCCTTTGACTCGACGATGTTTCTTAAATTCAAATTTATCAATTATTAACTATGTATTAAAAAGTATCTATTTTTTGAGGATTGAGTCTTAAATTTTTTGATTCACATCGCTTTCATTCATGAGTTGAAGTATTGAAGCTTGGTAATATTTGATTGATTTGCATATTTTCTTCTAAAGAATTTATTAATTATTATTTTCAACTTACTTATACTTTAATTAAACATGAAATAAAATTAATGCAGTTAACATCCAATAATTTTTATTTTATTTATATTTAAACTTATAATATATAAAATATAAATAATTAAATATGATATACAGAATTAATAATTTCCTCCTATATAATCAGGATTTTTTAAAGACTAAATACTCAACATAATTTCCTCTTATATACTCAAAATAATGTTCTTTCAACTAAATATAAAATGTAAAGCAAATAAAAAAAACTTAAGAATATTTCCTCTTATATAATCAATATTAATAAAACAATAATACATTGATGAAATTTTAAGTAACTGTGCAACACTATAACTTATATTTGAAAATTGTATAATAATTTTTTAATTTTTAAAGGCTAAAATTATAGTAAATAAATCCACATAACAAGAAAAAAAAAAGAACATAGCACGTAGAAAATATAACACACATATGACATAACAAAAAAAAAAGAAGAAGAAGAACATTGTTGATGATTCGTAGAAATTTGGAGAAGAAAATCTATAGAAACTTAGAACATACGAGCAAATAAAATAGAAATAAAAAATAAATAATAATAATAATAATAATATAGACAAAAGAAAATTTTATCTCCTCTTAATTTCACATAATAATGGTGAGTGATCCCCTTACTTCTTTATTCAAGCTGACAAGTTTATAAATCCCTCTTGAAGGATGAAGTGTATTCGGTGGTGAGTTACAGAGAAAAGAGTAAAATAAAAATAAAAAGCATAAAAGAGATGTCGAAAAACATATGAGTTAAGAGGGTAAAGTTAAAGTGAGCATGTAGAGTAATTTTGTTATTCTTTATTTATATTAATTATTAAGTAAAAAAATTATTTTGAGAGGACCATTAAGAAATATATACAATGGTTTAAAAATTTTGAAGAGCCACAGTCCCCGTAACTACAAAAGGGGTCCGCCCCTGACAAAATGTGCCTTCATCGATCGAGGCTCACATACAGATGTGGACAGATTGTTATACCATGGGAGGCTTAAGGAAACGTTGGATGATAGTTCGTGGATCTACTTTATTTTCTCCATGGTTGGTTAGGAATGAATCCGTGTTTAACAATAAGCAGTGGGATAACATGCAGCTGGCTTTTTTTTTTTTTTTGTTTTCATTAGGATGCACTCACTTTTTAAGATTCGAGCTTGCGAGGGTTTCGATTCTATTAATGAAATTGATTGATGGTGTAGTCCACGAGACAAAAACATCATAGGAGCTCCACTTTACACTAGACTTAATATATAGTGATATCCACCTTCAGGAGGTGTTTATAAATTTAATTTAATGTGGATGGTTCAGCTACAGACAAACCGGATCCAACTGAAAGATCGGATCTAACTGGATGTGGAGGTGTTCTCAAAAGATTTTAAGGGGTACATTGTTAAGATTTTCATCGGTTCACTTGTCATCCAAGACTAACCATGCGGAGGATATGACGATCCAATATATATGCCCTTCACTTATTCGCATCTTCCCCGTCGCCGGTTCCGAGAAACTCATTGAATAAGACTCTACGATTGTCGTATCCTGAGCGCATGAGTGCATGACAAAGACCAGAGGTCATTGGACAAGTGGTCCACTTTTAAGGAAATTAAGGGGCTGGCGATGTTGAAATTGTTCACACACTACGAAAAGGTTATTCCTTTGCTGATAAACTATCAAACGTAGGAGGGACAAGGACTATGTTCTTAGCATGGTGGTAATATCATTCTACGTGGGGCTGTAATTGACCCACTGATGGCGAGTTCCCTTGTTATCTGTCGCTTTTGACCTTTTATGTGGCGTAGATGTGCTTTACTGTTTTCTTATTCACTGTTTGGCACACTATTGTAAGTGTCAGAATGTGTTGACTTTAGGAGACAGGCTGGTTGCAATGGGAAAAACCGGATGCTGAGACCCTTGAATTCAATACGGATGGAGCTTCAAGCGGAACCTGGGTGATGAGCATGGGACAACCTAGCATATTTTTCTAAGTCCATTGGCCACTCCGATTCAAACTTAGCAGAGCTTCTTGCTCTTCAAGAGGCGGTTCTGATTTTCGCTGCTGCTCAGTGGAGTTCCACTCATCCCCTGATCCTTGAATGCGACTCAAAAAATGTGGTTCATTGGACCCTTAATTCTACCAATGTGCCTTGGAGAATGAGACATACTGTTATCCAGCTCTCCAACCTCCTTGCACGTATTCAATGTTGGCATATTAGACACGTTCCCAGGGCTGCCAAGGATGCAGCTGATACTCCGGCCAGAGAGGGGGTCCAAAGGCTGCATAATCTTCTGTGGATTAAACCTGAGGAACCATTGCCTCACCCAGATTTGTTTCTTAATGCGCCAGGAGATGCTGAAAATGACTTAGAAGTTTAGCCATCAGGACTGGCGCTTTTCATTTGGAGGTGATTAATTTTAGGCTAGTTAAATGTATAATCTGCTCTGCGTTTATGTGCTGTATGCCTGCGTTCTTTGTTGCCAAAATTTCTACTGCTGGAATTGTTGCGCAGCTTACTTTTGTACAGGGGTTTACGATTTGGAGTTAGCTGTTTGCAGTTAGTTATTTTGTTGTATAGCTCTGTTGGCTTTCTGCTATATTGGGATAGAGCTTAGTGTACAGGTTTTGTTTGGAAATTTCTGGGTGTTTTATGGAAGGGAGGTTATGCTGAGCCCCTCTTTTTGTACAGGCAACTTGACTATCTTTGCCTTGAAAGAAATGTACAGGTTTTTACGAAATGAAATCACATGCCTTCCAAAAGAATTCCATCACCATCTTCCTAAAACACCTTGGCTGATTTTCTGGCTAAATTTGGAATTGATAGAGCTATGATGTTTATATAAGTTCTAAGTAACTTATTTGCTCGAATATCGGTTATATCACCAAACATTTGGATAAAGAATCTACAAATACATTGACCTCTAAGCACTATATCATTCGTTAAAACACTGCATTTTGGTTCTCAATATCAGAAATTAGAAGAGGGGAGAATCAGAAGAGGAAGCATTCATGAACTTGAGTGTGGGATCCCAGTAGCTCCCATTATCCACCATGCAGCCAATGCTGCAACTTTCATTCGATATCTCTAGCTCCATTGATGAATATGAAACTGGTACACCCACCAAGGTACCTGGTGAGTCCCCCATGATATTTGCAATCACCTCATAATCATTTCCTTCCACATAAATACTGTCCATGAACCCTGCATCTTCTGTTGAGCACATCCTCCCTTCCAATGCTTCTTCGAATTCTTGCATTTGGTTAAACTTTTCACAACGTTTCCAATTACCTACGTCATCCAATTCGTTGTACGTATATGAATTCGTTGCAATGCAAGGTATCAGAGTACCTTCGCCTGCTGCTTTTTGATTTATTCCAGCGGTTGGAACTTGAAACCGGCCATCGGAAAAGTTCGATATTGACCCCGGGGACTCGAGATCGTCACGGTCAGGGAAGCTAAGCATGCCGGTGACCAAACCTTGCCATGCTTTGAGCACGTCAAGGCACTTGGGCCTCGGTATTAGACACCCGAGCTGGGATGTTTTTGGTTGGACATGATTTGGTACTGCTGGTTTATTGGTCGATATGCGGGCGGACCTGGCTTCCGCTTCGAGGCGAGCCCTTTCCCACTGAGCCATGTGGCTTAAATTGGAGTCGATGCCGCCGTGACCGGTCGGGAAGCCAAGGGCATCGATTCGGGGCTTGTGGGTCATGGGATCGATGCCCATTTTGATTAGCCTTTTCTTTAGATGAGTGTTCCAATGGTTCTTGATCTCATTATCAGTTCTCTTTGGCAAGTGAGCAGCTATAGCTGACCATCTAAATTAATTGACATCAAGAAAAAAAAATTAAGAACTATGTAATCTTTCATTATCAGTTCTCTTTGAAAGCTGCATGCATGTTCTAAAATTTCTAAGCAAAATAAGAACAGAAATTTACTATCTGAAGCAGCTGTGCACATGTATCGTTACTCAAAGCAAAAAAAATTAATGGCAGGGTAAATTTTATAAGTGAAAAAAAATTAATGAATCAGGATATGATTTCAGGTGGAGGGGAGCAATAATGCTGATGATTGAATGGTATGGGTTGGAGGTCCAATCCCGTGACATGGGGAACTTGGGTTCCATCGTACACTTGATTTTTAGCACGTACTGGGAAGTTTTCTTTCAGGATATAAATGCTAGTAAAGAAACCTGATTTTACCTGTAGGAAAGGAACAGAAGCATTAGACAAAAGAAGGATTCGTTTTGTTTTACCAAATCCATGATCTGCTCTAAAAGAAAGTAAGACTTCTACACACATGGAACTTTCACCTGTTCCCAAGAAAAGCATGGAGTTGAATGATGGTCTGCTCTTCCTGTAAGCTGAACTTTCCTCTCTTGATATCAGGTCTTAGGTAGTTGATCCACCTCAGTCTGCAGCTCTTGCCGCATCTCTTTAGCCCTGAACAAAGGGGGGAACCATATAAATTATTACAGTACTAAGCTTTTCAGTGAAGAGGAAAAGAAATTGATCATGGCCTGGGCGGGTTGCTTTATATTTCCTGTTTTATGTTCTGGGTTTGCTCAAGGCTTCTTCTACATAAATCTATCTAGCTTTTTTGGCTGACCAAAAATAAAAAAGAAAGGGTATTTGAAAGAAGAGCAAACTACACAGAGAAGGATAAATATTCTCTTACTGAAAGCAGTCTGATCATGACAAATTATAAAAAAGTTTCCTTTCAAACTTAACCACCTGCTTTCTCAGGCAAGGTACTCCAGCTGCCATGGCCATGTAGTTGAATGTAAGCAGTGAGCTTTTGGTCTTCTTCAGCTGTCCAGGTTCCTCTCTTGAACCCTTCCTTTTCACAACACTTTGAGCTACCCATTTCCAAACTTGCAGCGATCACTAGGGGAGAGAAAATGACAGAGTATAAGTTTAAGTTGGAGAAGGATAGCCTGAAGCCATGCAGGAAAGGACAAGTTATATAAACTGAAATAGCGCCTAGGGGCACTGTGAAGGTAACGTAATAAATTACAACATAATACAAAATATATGTCGGCAGGTCCTGCCATAATCATGACCAATCTTCCTCAAATTAAAACCATTAATCTATATCAAATTATGATACTAGTACATAATTTGGGTCCCGAGATTCTTCTTCTTTTTTTCTTTGGGAGTTGAAGTTAAAGACTTTCAAATTGTTTGGAGCATTAATCTATACCAAATTATGATACTAATACAATGCTTTCTTTTATTAAGGTTAGAGACTTGAATCAGTACAATATACTCTCTCTCTCCATTATTAATATATGTCGTACTTTTTTATATATATATAAAAAAAAGACCAGGTTGACATTGCATATGAATATGCATAAACATCTTCAACCTAAAACCGCCATTGAATTCTCCTTTTGAATAAAACATAGTATTGCTTGTTGATGGTGGTGAAATAAATTTTAGTAGCCCTAAAATTAATCTTAGCAAATGTCTGACACCTAAGAGTACTGAAAGGACAACTCGGTTGCCCTTCAAAAATGGCAGGTGACTAGGTGAAAATCTAAATGATCCTATAATTTTACTTTTGGGTATGTTTCTTGGTCTCTTTCATGTCAATAAATGTGTCGTACCATGGAAGAGACGACTGAATCGTCTTGTAAATTGTAAAATGTGTGATAATTGATTAGAAATGTCCATGAATGGGGTCCGACAAATCAACCCTGTTCGAACAATACTTTTAAAAGTCAAGCTCGAGTCTTAACGTAATTGTCCAACCTTAGTTTAAACCTGACTCAGCATCAACCTACGAGAAACAAGACAGGCCTTTACGGCGTGTTTGGTAGGGAGCAATGGCTTCTTATTCCTTTAGAATAGCAAAGCATTTGTTTGATTACAATTTTTTTTTGTTGAGAATAACCCAAAAAATGAGTTTAGTCATTTCCTTCTCTTCCTCGGTATCAGCCATCCATGACTGATGGAATAAGTATAAGTTTCAATAGATGAAAATATCCCTATTTATTAAAAATAATTATAATTTTATCCATTTATAAACCTTTTTTTTTTCTTTTTCCTCTCTTTCTCATCCTCCTCTCCTTCTCTTTCACCTTTCTGCTTTTGCCACTAGCTTTCTCGTTTAGCCCTTAGCTGCCCCTGGTGTGAGAAATACTTTTTTGCATTGTCACTTAGATCTCCTTTTAGTATTGGGGTTATTTGTTTGGTATTTCATAAACTGTTTTTCTGGTTTGTTTTTCTAGAGTTTTGATATCAAAATTTCTTGTTTTTGTAGCTAGGTTTCTTGGTTTAGATTCTTGTTTCTTTCTCCACACTATATTTGCTTCTTTTTTGTTTTTTTCTATTATCGATACTTATTTACAAGTATGCTCTCTTCTTTTTGAATCTCAAGTTGATATTGTGTTGCATGTTTGTTCTATTCCTTGTGACTCTTGAGTTGATGTTGTATTGCTACTAGTGAGTGTGACATTACATTATATTTCCTGAGGATATTGTCTACCATATTAAGTGTTGTTTGATGGGTAAACATTGTCCTACTAGGCGTTGTTTGAGGTTAAACGTTGTTTTATAAGCTGTGAATTCTGCCATTATGTGTAGGTGTTTTCTAGTGTAAAAATTTTGTTTCATTAGGTGCTTTTGTATGGACAAAACCTAGTTAGATTACTATCTTTTTGGTCTTTTTGGCTGCATCTTTGACTTTTCCCAAAGTGTTGTATCAATTCTATGTTACATACTAATATACCACACTTGATTGAGAAAAAAAAAAAAGAAAAGCTCTTACTTGAAAATTACCCATGCCAAGCTTAAACATATAGGAATAGTTTAAGTTTGATATGTTTATTTGGATTTTCCTTTTCTTTTTGTAATTGTTGTTTCTCTTAGTTTTTACATGTGTAGATTGTTTTGATAAGTTGATGATGTTTGATGATAAAAAATATTTTTATTTACTTGGTTGACTAATTAAAGTTATCCAAATCAAATGCTTGTGTTTTTAAGTCTTTCATCTACTCCAAGACTTGAATGGTTGTAGAGGTTTCTTGATGATCATTGAGCTTAAGCTACTAAAATTGAACCTTTTTAGGACTTTGTAGTTGATGTTAATGCTAAATTGTGAGTTGAATTGACAAGTCTGAAATTTTTTGGGAAGGCTAGATGATAAAATTGCAACTTTTTGAAACTTTATAATAGTGGGGTCATGTTGTAGTGGGGTTGAATGACAGGTTTGGAATTTTTTGAGAATATCAGTTAATGGAAATTGCAACTTCTGGAGATCTTCTTGTTGGGATCTTTTAGCTATGGGATTGAATGCCAAATCTAAATTTTTTTGACAAGGCCAGATGATGAATTTGTAATCTTTTGAGACCTTTGAGCTAGGGTCTTGTAATTGGTGGGGCAAATTGTGTATAGCTGGCTCATTTTATTTGTAAATTTTATGTGGTGGATCATGAATGATATTATTTCTAATATTTAGTAAGTGAATGATGAATGATATCAGATTATGTCAACTTTGTCTATACAGATTATGGATTATATCATATTATTTTTTATATTTAGTAGGTGAATGATGATGAATGATTAAGCTATTACTTTTAACTTTGTTTTGAAGTGGTGAGTTTGTATGCTTTTACCTTCGCAAAAGGGATTGATTTGTGCTTATGCAAAAAGGATATTTGCTAATCAACAATTCACCTGTAATAAACAATGACAAGTACAACCTTCACATGTCATAAGTTTGAAAACTGATGACAATCTTAATTTATGAAAATAATATTTTTTTTGTATGAAACTTTATGCAAATTAACATATTAACTACTAAAATGATCTTGCAATGTCATTAAGGTGTATGTATATGTATATATTCTAACATAATTATGATCATATAAGTCTTACAGTATGAAAAAACCCATAATTCAAGCACTAATATTTTTGGATATCAATATATATAGGGAGAGTATTTTTCTTTTGTATTCTTATGAAATAATTATTAAAATATAGTCAAGGGTAATTTAATTTTTTTAGTATAAATATTTTATTATATTATAGTTAAGGGTATTTTGTCTTTTGGTACAAGAATTTTCTTCTTTTGATGAAAAATAATTCAAATATTATAACAAATGGTAGCTTTGTCATTTTATCATTTATTCTTTGATTATTTCAAAATTATTCTTACCAATCAAATATTAGAATAAGTCATATAATAATAATTCCTACCCTATTTTATTTCATAAACCAAATCACAAAATAATCATTATGTTCTGAACTTACCTTATTTTATTCTCACAAAAAAATTATTTTATTTTATTTCACGAACCAAAAATGTGGTTAACCTTGGATGTTAGTAGGATGTATTCACTACGAGAGGCTTTAATTTGAACCAAACTTGGCAAATGGTAAGTGGATTGAAACGAATGACCAGAGTTAAATCCTGCCTAAAAATTTGTCCTGTGGCGAGTAAATTGTACATATGCTTCACGTTGTCCTTTTTAACTTTTAAGGAGGAATTCCTCATTTAATCTAGAGCCAAGTTGATGGTATTGATGAAACGTTTTAATGCAGAACAGATCGACTTGCCTGTTTCTTATCCCAGTACCGAGTCATGGTCGTTAGGATTCATATAATGAAGCCTAGAACACACTTCGAGCAAGAGTAGACTAGGGAATCCAAAACCCATTTAGCATTGCCTTCAAGGCCTCAACCACCAACATTCACGTTCAAGGATGGGATTAACCATGTATGGGAAATGACACGAAAAGACTACAAGGGAAACAACCCTAAGCAGATCCTCAGAGAAGAAACAGGTTTTTTTTTTCCATTTTTTTTGAAAGGCAGAGTTTTATTGAGCTTTGTCTCATGAAAGAGACTTCGAACAGAATAGCCACTTAAGTCTTAAAGCTACAAAAGGTCCTCCAGACGAGGCCTGGCAAACATCATCAGAACATGATGCGCCAATAGAAACAAAAATGATAAATAAACCAACAGAAAAACCCCACGAATAATCCATCAAAAAGTTTGCTTAGCATGACAGTCACCCCTGTAATCGTTTAAAAAAGATCCTCAGGAGGTTCAAAATTTCCATCCCTTTGGTGAAGAACAAAGTAGGCATTGAAATTATCATCCCTTAAGACTCCAGCTTTGGCCAGACCGTCAGCTAGTGAGTTCATTTCATCTCTTCAATGTTTTGAGAAGAAACAGGTTGCCTAAATGGAGAGTTGGACAGTACAACTCGGGTGTCTACGCACGTAAGCAATAAAGCAAAGTTGTGTCTAAATATCGGAATTTATAAAAGGTCGCTGATAAGTAAAGCTCAAAACAGTGAATTCCATAATGGTAGACAATGAATGCTTGCCAGCTTATAACTGAAGGAACTGAATGACACTCATTAATGATTGATTGAAAGGGGCATCAGCATTAAAAAATCTTCTGCCAAATGCTGGCATTTGTAGCACATTGCTGGTATATGCAAAACTGAATTCACCATGCAAGTGTATCGGCATCTAAATCCCAATTAGGTCATTGCTCAGAAGGAAGACAGCCCTGCAGTTTGCCGGAATTTCTCATAAGAGACCCAGAAAACAAACTGCCAAGGACCAAGCCTTGCCCATGTAGGAAAGAAACCTTTCCACAATGCTGTTAATCCTTCTATTTTCACCGTCTTCACCAAACAATCATATGAGTTCTTGTACATCACATTCCCTCCCTTGCCGCCTGCTTGGTTCATCATTCTCGTCTTCAAAACATCAGCCGGACAACTCAAAGCTGTAGCAGAGAGACCCGACATGATCGATGCCAATGTGTGCGCATAGATGTTATCAGCAGATATCTGATTACTGATAACAAAACGTTTTGCGTGATCATAACAAGCTAATTCCCCCATATTCACTAAAAATGCTCTCTGGACATTTGGGAAAACTCCTTTCCAAAGACCTCGAAAACCTTCCATGGCAACAATCTTTTTTAAAGCATCAAATGGTCCTTTGTACCTAGGCTGAAGACCCCTGCTTACCATCCGCCCATCTGCTTGCATCCTTACCTTAACAAGATCAGCTGGACTTGCCACTACCTGTACTACTAATGGTAAGCAGAAATATTCTAATTACATTCCAAAATTAAGCATGAAAATTAAAATTGACAACCAAAATTAGCAAAAGCACACAGGCACAATCAGTTGAAAAGTGAAAGCAAGACTCCAATGGAGTGCTAACTAAATATTTAAAAATAAATGGAATTTATTCATAATTAAAGAAAGAAAGAAATGGAGTTAAGAGAATAAACAGAAGTGCAAAAAAGAAGTCTTGAATTGATGTAAAGGTACCCTTTTTACATCCCAATTAGGAACATTAACAGCAATCCCAATTCCATCAAGCATTTCTCATTTCCAATATTTCTTTCAATGCATCAATCAATAAACCCAAACCTGAGCAATAACGCCGGAGATGCCACCAACAAGAGCCTTGGAAGATAAAGAAAGGGAGCCATCGGAGCTCACGAAATTCCTTAAATTCTCATAACCAACTATCCGGATGGGAGTGTAAAAAAGGTGCCTGATAATCGCCGGAGATAGGCCTTTGTAGAGACCCAATACGCCTTGTTCACGAACGATTTCGGAAGCGACACGAAACGCGTTGGTAGACGGCGTGGGCGTTGGCGTTGGCGTTGGCGTTGGCGTTGGAGTAGGAGGAGGAGGAGAGAGGTTGAGACTCGCCGTGGAGCTGGAGCCTGGTCTTGGTCAGGTCAATCGGGAACGTGGCAGTCTCAGCCACCATGGCCGAGAGTGACGTCAGCAAGATCTTAATCCGGAATCGGGTTTGGGTTTGGATTCGGGTTTGACTTGCCTCCATTTTGACTATTTGCGAGATCAAGCTTGGGCAGCTCTTGCAGAGTAACCAGTACAAATAAAAAGTGGAATAAGGATTCGTTTTGGAACTATAAAACGACAGACGACGTGCCGTTTTAATGGCAGTGGCGGCAAAAGAAAAAGTTCTCAAAAATGGAACCAATAGTTCCACACCAATTTCTCTCCACTTCTAAGCTCAAGCAGTAGCTTGGTTTTCAAAGAAAGGAGACATTTTTCCTTCTGGGTCTATTGTTGATGGAGCCATTAACTTCTTGTCCAGATATCAATCTAGGGATTTTGATGAGTCTCGACGACGATACAGTCCAAGAAATCCTCCAAAGCTACGACGGTTTCTGCGCCGCCGCTAAATCTCTCCTCAACGGCTCCATCGGACACGACTTCGTCTCTCACGTTCACACTCTCTGCAAACATGGCCTCCACTCTCTCGCTCGCGACTACTTCCTCAGATCACTTGAGGTAATAATCGATTAAACCATTGATATCTCCTTCAATACCAAGTTTCTTACTTTTCCTTCTTTTTGGAATTATAGGAAGCTTTTGAGAAAAACGGAGCATCGAGATTTTGGCGCCATTTTGAGGATTACAGTAAAATTGAAGAAGATTTAGAGAAGATTGATGAGGATGAGATTCAACGACTGCTGTGTAAAGCTTTGAAAGAAATATGTTTAGAAAAAGAAAATCAAGAGAAATGTTTGTTAATGTTTGTTCATGCTTTACAATCCTATATGGAGAATTTATCTGATGGAAAGCACAATTTTGATGCGGAAAAAGTCTATCTTTTTTCAAAATATCAGTTAATTGTTTCCTCAATTCTTATGGCCAGTCTTCCTCGCCATTTTCCCGGTAGGAAACTATAGATTCTTTATATATATATATATATATATATATATATATATAAGTCAGTTCTTTTGTTGTGCAAAATTGGTTTTTTATTTAGTAGCTGATAATTTCATGGATGTTGTTAGAGGTACTCCATTGGTACTTTAAGGGAAGGCTGGAGGAGTTAAGTACAATAATGGATGGAGAATTGAATGAAGAAAATGATTGTCGAGATAGAGATGAGATGGATTTGGATGAAAAGAGTAAGCACAGAAGTGGTGAAATGGATATTGATGAGTGCTATCATCAAGACAAGTTTCCGGAGAACAACAAGTTGGTGAGGAGCATTGGGAAGGTTGTTCGTGATCTTAGAAATCTTGGTTTCACATCCATGACCGAAGATGCCTATGCTACTGCTATCTTCTTGCTTCTCAAGGTGGACTTGTTATTTAAAAATGATATATGACTTTGTGTATTTGACATTCTGTCGGACCTGTTTTTATTTAATTATTCTTTTAAGCAAATGTTACGCTACTTATTGGGTAACATTACATGTCATGTTCCAAGCTTATAAATCTGCATCTTATAAACAGTTTGCTTTCCTTGTTTGCATTACAGGCTAAAGTACATAATCTGGCTGGTGATGATTACCGGAGTTCTGTTTTGGATTCCATTAAGGAGTGGATACAGGTTTTTTTGGTGCTTGTGAATCCTTTACATTTTCCCTTTTCCATTCAATATAACTGTGAATCTTTCTGGTATTTTTGGTTAAATATAAAAGTATTTTTTTCCCAGGTTTCATGTTATTTCAAGTTTTATTAACTTGCTATTATGTTCTCCCATGGTTAAGTTACTGAGAGATTATTCCTTATATTTGGAGGAATATTTTCCAGGCTGTTCCTCTGCAATTCTTGAATGCATTGCTTGCCTATCTTGGTGATTCTATTAGTTTTGACCAGCATTCATCTGGTCTCAAATCACCTCTGGCTTCACAGCCATCTTCATGCTGTCCTGGAACAAATACTCCATCAGAAGGACTCATTAGATGGAAATTGCGGCTAGAGTATTTTGCTTATGAAACATTGCAAGATTTAAGGATAGCCAAACTCTTTGAGATAATTGTGGACTATCCTGAGAGGTAATTCTTTTTTCATTCTAAATTCATTGTACCTCCTTTAGTTCAATTTCTGCATTATTTTTTATGTTTTCCATTCTTGGTTAATGGGACAGGAGAGGTTTCCCTCTCATTATGTAGCTAAAAATCTCTATGTACCAAAATGATATAGAGAGAGAAAGTTACTGATTCAGTACATTATTTTATGAGATTCTCAAAAACATCCGCTTACTTGAGGGGTTTACTTTTTCTCCTTCTCCTGACCGTGGAGCGAAAGGAGTTATCTAAACTTTTAACTATTATTTCCATTGTTTGCTGGGTTCATTGCATGAATTGAAGTTGTTGGTGCTAATCTAAAGTATTCTTGGAAATTCCTCACTTTTTTTTTTTTTATTTCTGACTTTTGCAGCTCTCCTGCAATTGAAGACTTAAAACAGTGTCTTGAATATACCGGACAGCATTCTAAGCTGGTTGAATCCTTTATTTCTGCACTAAGATACCGCTTACTTACCGCGGGTGCCTCAACCAATGACATATTACATCAATATGTTTCAACTATCAAAGCACTCCGGACCATAGATCCAGCTGGTGTTTTTCTTGAAGCGGTTGGTGAACCAATAAGGGACTACTTGAAAGGAAGAAAAGATACCATAAAGTGCATTGTGACCATGCTAACAGATGGCAGTAGTGGCAATCCAAATGGATCTGGAAACAGTGGGGATAGCCTTCTTGAGGAATTAAATAGAGATGAAGATAATCAAGAAAATGTCGGAGTTGATGATGATTTTAACACAGATGACAAGCAAGCCTGGATTGATGTGCAACGGTATGTCTACTGCTATCACTGTTGTTTATTACAGGTATAAAAGCAATGCCGTCAAAATTGCCATATCAATGTTCTAATCTGTGTCTTTGTGAGTTCTTTCTTTTTCAGCTGGGAGCCTGACCCTGTTGAGGCAGACCCATCAAAAGGTAGCCGAAACAGACGGAAGGTTGACATACTTGGAATGGTAGTTGGCATAATTGGTTCAAAAGACCAGCTTGTTAATGAATATCGTATTATGCTTGCTGAAAAACTTCTGAACAAATCTGATTATGACATTGACTCAGAGATACGTACTCTAGAACTCCTCAAGGCAAGTTGCCTTTATTAAGTTATTGTATTCACTCTGTTTTGTTTTCCTCAACATTTCCTCCTAAATTTACTTGCTTTTTTGCATGCTCTCATTTTTCAGATACATTTTGGAGAGAGTAGCATGCAGAAATGTGAAATTATGCTCAATGATCTGATTGATTCCAAGAGGACAAATACCAACATTAAAGCAACAATTAATAAGCAATCTCAAATAGGTATTCTCTGGCTTTCTAGAGCTTTTAGATGTGGGTAGCTTGGTGGGGCTACCTTAGCTATTCTACTTTCGTCTAATCTAATCAGTTTAACTTCTGTTGAATTATTCTAAGGTGCAGATGCAGAGTCAGCAGAGACTGGGATTTCTTTGGATAATCTTGATGCTACAATCATATCTTCAAATTTCTGGCCCCCAATCCAGGCATGCGTTTCAGTGATATCGGTTCTTTTATTTCACTTTCAATTACTAAGAATTTGCTTTGTTTATGGCTTTGTTGCTAGGGGAAGGTTAGAAATATCTCAGAAAAACGTTTTACATTTTTTACCTTTTAGTTTAAGTTATATTCCAAAGCCAAATTGCAAATGGATTAATACCTTATAAGAGAGAGATTCTCTTTGAATACTGTAAACAATATTTTGTTGGTAAGGTGTGTGTCAGATGGATTGACCATTTTGAAAACTAATTACTATAATTTTTGCCAACTATAGTAGCACATTAAGGTGCCTTGTTTTTCATTTAAAGATGCAGTATTTTAGATGAAGAAATTATTTGATCAAAGGAAGAGCTAAAATATTGATATTTAAGGAATCAATTATTCCAAAAGAAAAATTCAGAAACATGAGAGAAATGAATACTATTAATCTATTTTCATAACATGTAATGCATCTAGCCACCTTTAGTTCCATATTTCCCCTTTCTAATTTTCTTATTGACCATATCTATGAAGAATTTGTAACTTGACAAGATGCTTTAAATTGGAAAAAAATAAATTTAATGACTCAATATGTTAAACATGTGATGGAGATATTTATTTAGGTCAGTGTTTGTGCAAAGAAGGCAAAGCAAATTTAGAAAATGGTTCTTGTTGTCCTACTAAATTACAGGCTTTATCCATAGTACGAGATTTATATGATTTTCATTTTCACTTTTTCATTTCAGGTGTTAACGTTGTACAGTTAACAAATGCTTGACTTGTATAAAAATGCATCAAGCACCAGATAACTATACTTTGCCTATGCCTGCATCCCTGATGAAAATCCATTTTGTCAAAATGATTAGTGGTTATCAGTACCTTGTCACTTTTTTATTAATGTTGTGGAAATTTTCAGGAGGAGGCCCTTATCATTCCTTACCCCGTTGACCAGCTGCTCTCTGAGTATGCAAGAAGGTTTCATGAAATCAAGACTCCTCGAAAGCTACTGTGGAAGAAAAATCTTGGAACAGTCAAGGTTAGGTCTTTTAAAGTTTAGTTATACATGTCCTTGAATGCTCTTTTCTTAGCATCAAGTATTGTAATTGTATTGTTGATTTCCTTTTCTGCCTTTTTTGCATCACTTAACTAACATTTATTCTTTCAATCATATATATACTATTTTAGTTAGAGTTGCAATTTGAGGATAAGGCAATGCAATTCACGGTAGCTCCTGTACATGCAGCAATAATAATGCAATTTCAAGACCAAATGAGGTAGTTTCAGCAATTGTTTGAACCTTTTGCATCTTATTGTTCATATTCTAATGGTATATTATATATCTACTTTCAGTTGGACCTCTAAGAATCTTGCTGCTGCTACCGGGATCCCAGTTGATGTGCTGTATCGGAGGATAAGCTTTTGGATAAGTAAGGTATGTTTAACTTCATGTGTTTTTTCCTTATCAAATAATGGGCCCTGTTCAAATTTTGAAATTTCCTTTTTCCACTTAATAGCTTGATGCAGCCCCTTGATCTTTAGTTCATTACCCTATTGTAAAGCACACATGTCTTTGCCACTCAAGATATAGGTTATTCAAGTGCTTTCAGTTTTATAGGCTAGAAATTTCCCTCTGTAGTTTTGGTTTGCAACATTATTGGAAGTTGATGAAATCATCCTTCTTCAGCTGGGAGACATTGCAAGTTTTTTAGTTATATGGTCTGAAGTTCAAGTTCATATGCTGCATTGTTTTGATTCATTGTCTGTACAAATCTCTTGGTATTTTTCTTAGCAAGTAGAAGCTAAAAGTTTCAAATAGGTCAAATTTGGTACTGTTTGAAGGTTTCCGAAATCAAAATGAGAATTATTGGAAACTAGAAGTCTATTTACAAAATTGTTATCCTCATTAAATCTTCTCTCCAGGGAGTTCTCACTGAATCACTAGGGACAGATCCTAGCAACCATGTATTTACCCTAGTGGATGGCATGGTAGATACTAGTAAGAGCGGTGGTAATAGTGGAAATTGTGAGGAGCTTCTAGCGGGTGATGAGGAGCCAGAGAGATCTGTGGCTTCCATTGAGGATCAACTACGTAAAGAAATGACTGTGTATGAGGTATGTGATGTGTGTGAACATTTTCTTTAGGTACTGTTTTTTCCAAAGCATAAGGTCTTGTTGATCAATATGCATGTATATGGACTATGGACATGTCCTTAAATATAAATAGCTTGTTTAAATGTCATTTTGCTTAATGATGCTCTCTAACCAGAATTGGTTCATTGCAGAAATTCATCATGGGTATGCTCACAAATTTTGGCAGCATGGCATTAGATCGAATTCATAATACTCTTAAGGTAAGATGGTTTTGAGATGCCCTACAGTTTTAAATTATATATGAGTAATGTAATTGCTAACCTAAGACAGCATGTTGCTTTCAGATGTTCTGTGTGGCCGACCCTCCCTATGATAAATCACTTCAACAACTGCAAAGCTTCTTATCAGGTCTAGTTTCTGAAGAGAAATTAGAGCTCAGAGATGGAATGTACTTTTTGAAGAAGTAATTAGCCGAGATAATCATCTGCCATTTACTATAAAGCATTTAACAAATAGCACCGGTAAGTTTAATCTTAGGAAGTTGAAGAATGGCCCTGCCTTGTATTACATATATATTCTAAAAATGCTACGGCTATCATACTTTCCTCTTGGTTTGACAGGTGAACAGCAAGAATTTGCTAAAATTTACAGAGATTTAGTCATCAGCGTTCATCATTATATGAAATATCTTTTTAAGGATATATTTGGTCTCCTTATCATTTACAACTTTTGCTGGTCTCTCTTGTCAACCTTATCCTGTTCTGGAATCAACATGCTTCTGACAAGCTTTCGGCAAGATAAGCTGGAAGAAATTTTGGGTTGATCTCAAGAAGTTTGTTCAAATCACGCAAATGATACTCTTAATGCTGCAGAAGCAACAGGTTCCACGGTTGAACTCTCGAGGTTGGAACCTTGGTTTGAGGGGCCAGAAACTACCGTTTGTAGAGGACTAATTGAGGCTGAGGGGCCAATTTTATTATTAAGGTATCTGTTTATTACTGCTCCGACTCCCATATGAAGCAAATTTGTTGTGATTATGTAAATATTCGATCTATTATCTTTCTGAGTGTTTCCAGTACCACCAGCAGTTCCTTCAATACACTGATTCTTTCTTCAGAATGGTGTAGCATTCACTTCTCATTTTCAATGTAGGTTCAATTTCATTACCGGGGCTTAAGCACTGAAGAACCTCAGATAACCAGTCAATCATTTCAGTTGCTTAACAGATATAGTCTAACTTATTCGGATATGGATTAAGATGACAATAAAATATGTATAAAATTAGAATACATTATCAAATAATAAAAGAAGGATTTTCTTTCTTTGGATAATATATATATATATATATATATATATTGTTCTCGTGCTTTTGTAATCCAGGCCCATGAAGCCACTACCAAATTTTCACTTTAAAAAAAATGAAACAATCCTGACATAGCCGTTGCTATCATCAAGCAAGAAGATCCATTCTCTTAAACTAAAGTTCAAAGTAGGATAAATGACCGAAGACCAAAAGAAGAACATGACCGTTACATAAACACCCCCAAATTTCAAAACCAGCAAGCCAGAGAAGGTAAGAGAAGAGCCAGCAATGTCCGCCGCCGAAGAGCAAATGCAGCAGCTGAGATTGAAAGCCACAGAGCTTATCCTCAGAGAAGAATGGGAAGAATCCATACAACTTTACTCTCAGTTAATCAATCTTTGCCAAGGCCAAATCTCAAAGACCAATCAAGATTCCAACCCAGACCCAGATCACCTCTCCAAGCTTCACAAATCTCTCTGCGTAGCCTTCTCGAATCGAGCTGAGGCACGGTCAAGGCTACAAGATTTCTCTGAAGCACTTCAAGACTGTGACCGAGCACTTCAGATTGAAGCTACCCATTTCAAGACTTTACTTTGCAAAGGTAAGATCTTGCTTAGTTTGAACAGATATGCCAATGCTTTGGACTGTTTCAAAGCTGCTCTTTTTGATCCCCAGGGTAATGGGAAGCTGGAAATTCTTAATGGGTATTTAGAGAAGTGTAAAAAACTTGAGTTTCAATCAAGGACAGGAACTTTTGATCTTTCTGATTGGGTTCTCAATGGGTTCCGAGGGAAGCCTCCAGAACTTGCTGAATACATTGGTCCAGTGCTGGTTAAGAGGTCTGAAACTAGTGGGCGTGGCTTGTTTGCAACAAAGAATATCGATGCTGGGACTTTGGTTCTGGTCACTAAGGCAGTTGCGATTGAAAGAGGTTTATTGGGAGGTGAAGATTCAGGAGAAAATGCACAGCTGGTTATGTGGAAGAACTTTATAGACAAAGTTAAGGAAGCTGTCACAAAATGTCAAAGAACACAGCTTTTGATTAGTATGCTATCCACAGGTGAAAACGAAGAGGGGCTTGAAGTTCCCGAACTGAGTCACTTTAAGCCTGAGGTGGAGAGCAATGGCTGTTCAAAGGAGAAGCTTGAAATGGATAAGATACTAAGCATCTTGGATGTGAATTCTCTTGTGGAAGAAGCGGTTTCAGCCAAGGTATTGGGTAAAAACAGTGATTTTTATGGTGTTGGGTTATGGATACTGGCTTCCTTCATCAACCATTCATGCAATGCTAATGCAAGGCGTTTGCATGTAGGGGACTATGTCATGGTTCATGCTTCGAGAGACATCAAGGCTGGTGAAGAGATCACGTTCATGTATTTCGACACACTTTCTCCCTTGACAAGCGTATGGAAATGTCCAAGTCATGGGGTTTTAACTGCAGGTGTAGGAGGTGCAAGTTTGAAGAAGCAGTGTGTGCCAAGCAGGAGTTAAGAGGGATTGAGATAGGCCTCGAAAAAGGGGTAGATGTTGGTGCGGCTGTTTATAGGTTGGAAGAAGGTATGAGGAAATGGGCAGTGAGGGGAAAAGAGAAGGCTTTTTGAGGGCATCGTTTTGGGCTGCATATTCGCGAGGTATATAGCTCAGATAGGTTGATGAAACGGTGGAGCAGCGCTATTCCATTAATGGAGGCCGTAAGGACAGTGTGGCAGAAGCTGTGGGAAGTAATGAGAGAGTATTGAAGGTTGTTGTTAAAGGATTGAAGAAGAACGGCGGTGGTGTGGTAGACTTTGAGAAGCTATAAAGTTGGGAAGAGGGTTCTATGGCAAAGTGGTCAAAAAACAAGCATTGAGGAATCTTCTTGAGCTTGCATTCATGATCAAAGCTATTAGCTAAATAGCTAGGGGGAGAGTTGTTCTTTTCATTTTCTGCTTTCTACTTTTTGTGTTTCTATTCTTCACCTTTTTACTTCCATAACTGCTGAGGAGAGTTAGCTTCGATGTTACTATGGTCAGCATTCATCAAAAAGGTTGATGTTACCAACATGTTTCGAATAATCTAATACAGATCCTCAGTTTGGAAAAGCAAACTTTAATTCTGGCATTCAGCTGTGTCTTTAGCATGGTATTTCACTAGCAATCTTAGCAATGACAGTACTATACAAACGTTGAACTTACAATTCATACACACAGTGTAAATCACAATGATGATCACTGGTCATAGTGAGCAATATGGTTTTCCGAAAGCAGTAAAATTAGACCAAAACAGAGGTGGGGCTTGAGCAACTTAGCAGGCAATCTCTTCTATAAGTGATTAGCACAACTATTTATTTTTTTGATTCAAAGAAAAACTGGCTCTTAATAATTCGACAGCAGAAGCTAAAACCTTGTATTCAACCATCTGTGACTCTACTCCTATGAATCATTCCTCTCAAGGGCCATCAGATGCAGAACAGATTAAAACAGATCATCAGACCCAAAAAGGTCTCCTCATATGTCAGATATACGAACTAGCTTATTGTAAAGAATGTGATCATCCCTTCCTGTGTTGCTCTCTAATAATGCACTTTGGACAAGTTCCTGATGCAGGAAACGAAAACCATCATTAACTGTAAAGCAAGACTACTACGTAAAAGCAGAATTATGACAAGCAACAACAAAAAGAATTTGTAGAATCATCTTACTTTGACATCCCTGTGGGAGAGAAACTTCCCCAAGCTGTGAATAATCAACCTCATATCTTCAACCTGTAAAAAATAAATAAATTATCAATACCACTAGCATGCGAGAACATACCCAAATAAGTAAAAGATTTTGGTCTCACCCTAATGTAGCCAATTCGATTCCGATCAAAAAACCTAAAAGCCTATTAAAAAGAAGACTTGTATTAATGAGGGAAGAAAGAAAATCTGAATTGCACACTCAAACAAGGAAAGATCTGAGGCAAGGGAAATGAAAGGTGAATTGGAAAATACCTGCAACAAATCCTTATCCACAGCCAGCTCCTTATTCCTTGGATCAACTTTCAGCTCCCTCTTCGCAGACATATCTCCCTCGGGCCCAGGCTCTGTACTAGCAGCTTTTGTGGTCATTTCCTCCTTGATAGATGCCCTTGCTTCATCTTTCTCAGCCTCCTCTTGAGGTTTAGCATCTGTATCTGTCTTCTCTTCTTCATTTTTCTTCAAAGATGAAATTACGATCTTTCATAAACAAGGATAAATAACAGCACTAACCATATGAAAATGAATTTGCCAAATCAAATCACCATAACTCAGTCCAGGTGTAAAAATGGATGCTTATCATAATGTAAATAATAATAGTACAGACAACATGATTGAAATTCAATCCAGTAACAAAACCAACTGCACAAAAGTTATTAGGATGCATCCAAAAACCAAGTAGTGAAAATAATTTTTGACAAAAACCATTTGAGTTTCCCTGTTTTAAAAAGAAAGAAGCCTACCTCTTTAGAGGAATTGGGTTGTGGACTTGCATCATCCATTGCATCATATTCTTCAGGATCTTCCTCCGGATCTTCGTCATCTATTTCATCTTTTGTCTGTGGCTCATCAACATGATCAGCAGTAGTTTCTTCCTTGGTCACAATTACTTCATCCTCTTGCAGAGCTTGCTGAGCTGCACTTGATGTGTCTGATTTAGTAGATTCATTGTTCACAGAGAGCTCATTTGTTTTCAATCTTTTTGTTGGTGACTTTTTATCGGTTTCCTTCTCATGGGTTTCTTCCTGTTGCCTCTTACGCTGATTTCTTTTTGTCATAAATCTTACACGCAGTTTCTACACATTGAAAACAATGTTAGTGAAAATTCTTATGAAAGAAATTTAAGTAAAATAAGCAAAAATCATCACAAACCAACCTGAAGAAATGTTAATATACGGCAACCCATTTGATACTGAAGCATTTCATACAGTGCCTCCGCAAATAATGAAAGCTGCAAAAATGGAATATAATTGGTGTAAATGAAAAAAATAAAAAGAATAAAACACCAAAATTGCTTCAGATAACATGAAGTTATAAATGAAAATATATGGGGTAGCAAAATTTTTAAAAAAAAATTGTAGCTATTAAGGCAGAAAGATAACAAGACAAAAGAAACCTCAAACGTTGATTCTTCAATGTCCTTGTCAGTATAATCCAAAAGTGAATCCAGTGAAAGCGACAAAGATCGCAACTGCAGCATTAGAACGCATAATTAGACAACTAATAGCAAGGGATATTAGAAGTTTGTCCATAAAGAACTTTTCCTTCACTATAGAAAGCCAGTGTATAAGATATGATTAACTTACTTTAGAATCCTTGCTCCATTTTGTTTGTAGAATCAACCCAGGATGCCTTGGAGGAGGTTCCTCAGACTTCCTCTTGTCTTTGGATTCTCTGTTAGGATTGCTTCGGGATTCATCTTTACTATCTTTGTCCTCTTTCTCATCTTTTGACTTTTCCGCTTCTTTCAATTTTCCCCTCTTGTCATCATGATATCTTTTGTGATAACCTTTCGCTTGTCATTCAGACACTCCACATTAGTCACCTTTTCATCCTTATTCTCCTTCTCAGCCTTGATTTCTGATTTACTTGAACATGCAGCATTGCCTTGTTTCTCTGAACCTGCTTGCTTCCCCATATTTGAGGTGTCACTTCCAGCTTGAACCACTTCTTTGTCATCCCTATCATCATCTTCCTTAGTTTCAGCTACTTCATTATTAGCTTGTGTAGCAGGTAACTTTCTTAGGCACCCTCTTAAATTTTCTTCTTTACAGTTGTCTTCACACTGGCATTTTGTACAGCTGCAGCACTGCTGGCATCTGAATTATCCTTTGGTTTATCTTCAGAGCACCCTGTTTCCTTCTCCACTTTTGCCTCAAGGGGAACACCATTATCTTCACTCCGATCAGTTTTCCCAGCTGCCTCCTTTTTGCAATCTTTTTCCGTACAAAAGTTTTAACCCCAGCACGATCAGCAGAAGATTCTTCCTTTTGACTGGCAATCTCTGATTTAGCATTCTGCTCTCCAACATCTTCATCAACCTTGTCACTTTGTTTACTAGCAGTATTCACTTCGGCAGCTGTCTATTAGCAACCTTCTGTTTGACAATCCTCTTTATAATTTTCTTCTTCACAGATTTCACAGCACTCGTCTTAGCACCAGCAGCTTCGTCCTGTTCCTTTTTCTCAGGACCTCCTCCCACTGCTGTTTCACTGCCATCTTTTACCTCAACTTTATTTTCACCCCCACTAACCTTTCTTAGCTGCATCTCCTTCAATAGAGTTGCCATCTTTCTCCTTTTTGTTAGCAACTACTCCGTGACTAGAGGACACGGACTGACTCCTTTTTTCTGGTTTGCCTCTCTCAGTGTGTTTTGCAGAATCTGTTTCCTTGTCTAGCCAAATAAATGAAAAATTAAAGGGGAAGAAGCTCAGATCCAATTTCATAATTGATCATGTCCATACAAAATATTTGAGCAAATCAATAAGATGATGTAATTTGTAAAAACTCAATTCACCTTTTGATCCTTCCTTCCTCTCCTTAGATTTCTGAAAGAAAACAAATTCACCATTAGTAAAGTGGGCAACATATCCACTGGTCCTTATTTTATTACACAAAAGAAAATTTAGGGAAGGAAAATTGAAAAACCAAGGGTCAGCCATATATCCATCATAACTCAAAAATTGATATCAAGTGTTTGGGCATTGATTGCACAGAATGCTCCAAGCCATTGTCTGTCCAAAATCTTTAGAAACTTGATTTACTGGTCGTGATGACATTCAGCATGCATGACAGGCATTTAATTAAAACATAATCCACAGCAATTTTGGCATGTTGGATTCTAGTAGCACTTCCAGTCTGTTCTTCTTCTTCTTCTTGTGTGTGTGTGTGGGGTGGGGGAGTTGTCAATGTGTCTGCTTGTAAATGTGCACACTTTACATGCATAAACTATGCATATGCATCTTCTTAATACAGCTTATGCAAGTACATAGGCATTTACTTGGATAAAACTGAGCATAAGGAAACCTAACAGAAAAGGCAGGGAAAAAAAGAGAATAATACCTCCCTTTTCAAGGAAAGCTGGCGCTCTCTTTCAGAAACAGCTTTCCTATGAGCTAGCCATTGGGCTTGCCATGCATCAAATGAAGGGAGGCATTCAGATAAATCTGGAACAAACAGCACAGTGACCTCTTTATGGCTAAACAGTCCATCCTTGCCAACTCTATCATAATGTATCTGCAAATAACAAAAAGAGCTTAAAGCTAGCTTCTTGACATCAAGAAACAAAATTCTAACTTTAGAAACTGTAAGAAGAAAAATCAATAAAACTACTAAGCTCATCCAATAGAGAATGTGATGATAAATGTTTGCCACCTGGCTAAACTGCCAGTCACAACAAGATGAGGTTTGCACATTTCTACATTATCTGCTTACTGAATTTTAGAATATTCCCTCTGTTCCAGCCATCATATTACCCGCATATAGTCACCGATATTAATATATACTAGACCCTAAACAGTATCTTCAAGTGCTCAAGCCACCTTTCCCTTTCTTTCCTTTTAAAGGCCTATGGAATCAAGATCTTCAGAAATAAAACACAAAAGGATTACAGCAAGCGATCTATGTAAAATAATTTCAAGATGAAAACCACCAAAAGATAACCATCCTTGATGGTCATGTTTGTCTGGTCTACTCAATAACCAAAAATAAGAAATACATAAACCAATAAAAGTATAGATCATGGCTGCTGAGAAATAACGATTAAATTGGATTTTAAGTTCAATAGAATCAACATCTTTTACAACTTAGCCTGAGATAGAATCAAAAAAAAAAAAAAAGAAGAAGGATCCTCCAGAATAATTTTGAATAAAAAGATTCAAACATAAAGCAGAAATTTTTATCAGTAGAATTGCAGCTTCTGAGCAATACCACAGAAGGTTTTTTGGAGACAACTAAAACAAATAATAATACCTCAAGGAAACGATTCCAGTGCTGACAGTTCTGCAAATCAAGATTGGCTACATCCTTTCCATACCTGTTCAAGTAAAATAACTCCCCATTTGAAAAATGAATCAAGTGATACATAGCATACTACTACTAGCAG